AAGAGTGGCACATTTAAGGGGGCAAAATTTTAACGTTAAAATTACATCTTACTTTGAGACACTGAAATTACACACAAAAATTTAAGAAATCTTTTACATGACTTCTACTTTTACTCTAAGGTTTTGGTTACGGTTTTTTTATGCCGGTATACCGGTGTACCGTTATTTGTTTTACCGGCATTATTCTGCACTAGCTCCATCTGCCTTGCACACATCAGCGCGATTGACATCTCTTTCTAAGGTTAGTCCATAGTTTATAAGGTCTATGGTTTTCGAATTGTCCGCCAAAATTCAAACATAACTACTATTTCTATTAAAGAAGCTGTCAATGCAATTTTATCTGTAATCAAAGAAATACCCGCAAGAGCCTTTAAAAACATGCCTAGTTCCTCACCATATGGATACAAACATAAAATCTATTTTTTGATATTATATTGTGAGGTAGATAGAAAAGATAAATTCTGGAACTTCAAATTCGGGAAGTTTCAGCGCCATCGTTTGGAAAATAACTACACTACAACTCTATAATATTTTTCAAGTAAATTTTTTACCAATTCTTGTTTTTATCGCATAAGAAAACATTATTACTAAATGTATTGCCACTTACCTTCCTCAATCATAATCTTTTATGTTTGTTTATTCCACAAGTCACTAGCGCAACTTAATACAATTCATTAATTATACATACATACACATTTCATGGGAATAAAGAATTGTGACCTTAAAGAAGTCAACCATATTAAAAAGGAGTAGATTCTTTCTCTTCTCTAAATTCTTCCTTTTCCTTCAGTAAGTAGTTCTATTAGACTAGGTGCTAATGGATTTTGTGGAATCGACAAATCATGAACGCTTGATCGCATAGGTCTGTGCACATCATAAACTGATTTAGTTCATGCGCGTTGTTCATGTTACACGATCGATGACTTGGTAGTTTACAAAATCGTCCGTGCAGGCATAGCCTTACTGATGAAGTTTAGGATCTGGGACATGCACAATCGTCGAATTAAATTAAGAATAACAAGATATACATGTTTATTAAAAGTATGAAATAATTCGTAGACTTAGCGTATTTATCGGAAAATCTGAGATCATGTCAAAAATTGAAAGATCCGCAAATAAATTCGAAAAGTTCACAACGCTTAACCTACCAGTGTATATCATATCTTAAATATCATTATTCAATGCCTAATGTAGATACAAAGCATTACTCTGTACCTACTAGCGCGCTGTTTCCCACAAAATCATAGTTAAAAAGGTTATTTCATATACAAAACATATGCTTTGTCGATAGGAACAAAGTAAAATGGTTTATGCCAGTATTCATTCCGAAGTATCAATGGTATTTAAGATATACACTTTGTACATTATCTCACCCATAATGAATAATGTAATTCAAAGAGAGTTCAATTATTATGCAATTTACTCCAAAATATTTTCTCATAAATATGTCTCTTTAGCCAAATATGCAAGAATATTTCGAAATAGTTATAGATGTAGAATTTACGCTTCACAGAAGGCAATGAAAGCCTAGAATTAGTAGCATGTTTTTATAAGCACGCCCCATAAAATGTTTTATAAATCTATACTTTAATTTTCAAAAGAAACAATATTTTTTTCTTAATTTAAAGGCCACATTTGGAAAATGATGCGTTTCCGCACGAAGAGTTTATATAATCTTTTTTGCTTGTTTTTACCTGAGGAATGTCATTATAAAATTTCACCACTTCCTAGCGGGACACCTTGTGCAAACGATAATTATTCTTACAGTATTTTATTTTTATATATGTAATAGTTATATAGTAGATATGTACTACCTAGTTTATTACGTTAAGTTTCATACACAAATTTGTTATTATTTTAACTAATAAAATTTATGTTCATTAACCAAAGTATTTAATTTTTTAACGATTTCTTAATATAATAATAATAGTAAGGGAGTCCTATACAGTGTAGAAAAGTACCGATGGTCTATCAGAAGTTACGTGAGAGCGATAAAGTAAGCCATAGAAATCCATGTGATAGACAAGGACGGCTATATCTTATTTGCGGAAGGGCGAAACGGGCGGTGACTATGAGAGGCCTTCATTATAGCCATCCTTCTCTATTGCATGGATTTCTATGGCTTACTTTATCGCAATAATAAATTGAAATACTAAAACTGTGTATTATTTAACATAATAAATTATAAAACGTGAAAACGTTAGTAATATTAAAAATGATAAATTGTAATAACCGTACATTCGAAAACAATCATCCCTATTCAATTTGATGACACGATTTTCCTTTGATAAAAGACCGACAACTTTTTGCTCTACTTTGCATGGAATACGATCCTACTACAGTTCGTATTAGTCTAGGAGCCCGATCAAGTTCCGTGTACTAGCTATAAAAATAAACTTTTTACAGCCATTTACACATTTAATTTGTTGATAACAATTAAACTGACCACTTTCAGGCTTTGCGACCAAGTTTTTTGGATTCAGGAGGTCAAAATACTTTAGAATAAGTTGTTTGCAGCCGTGGCGCTCTGGTTGGCAACGGAACCCTGTCTGGCTCCTAGACTATATAAAGTGCACGTGCAAATTAGGTTATTGACCTCGACACAGGTTAGCCTAGGTCGGAAACACGTACCGAGTTGTTTATTTGTCTCCGTCCGATTGTATTTTAATCTCCTATTACTTACAGTCAATATTTAAATACTACATACATTTCACCCTGTCTTTATAATTTATTTTGTGTGTTGGTTTTTTATGTCATTATTTCTGTAATGAAATTTAAATGGTTATGAAATGAAATTTAAATTATTTGAACTCTTGGGGTTTTGTAACTTCAATATTAAATTTTATTTAAAGTGAAACAGAGCTAATTTCTTTGCAGCCATAATAGTCGCATTTGGTCAGATGAAAATCCGCACACTATTCGTCGGTTTAGCTTTCAGAGGCGATTCGGTGTCAATATATGGGCAGGAGTATATGGCGATCGTTTAATTGGGCCGCATTTTCTACCTGAACATCTGAATGGGCCGCGTTACTTTCAATTTTTAGTAGAAGGTTTACAGCAAATTAAAAAATTATCACTATGACGTTAATAAAAAATGATTTTTAGCAAGTCATGCTCAGACCTCCTCGAGGTTCTTGCTGGGCAACAATAACAATTTAATATGTTGATTGCATAATTATAAAAAATAATTTATAGCATTTTCAATTATTATTGGCTGACGTGAGCAAACCGTTTATTTATTGTCTTTCTATGAACAAAAATATATAAATATGGCAACATTGCATCTAGGGCGCTTTGTTCATATCGTACCGGCTGACATCAGCCGGTCAGTAACAGCCTGAAATGGGTGTTAAATAATGATTTGAAATTTTTTTTTTCGTTAAATATGCATTTAAATTTTTTTAATCACGCCATCGTATTATACTCATTTTTCTCTATCTGCTCTTAAAATTAATGACATTATGACTGAATCACCCTGTATATTTTGTATCTCAGACGAGTGACATCCTACAGATTTTAAAAATAAAAGATGATTTAATATACACTGTGTTCTTCATTTAAATTATTGTTCATAACAAATATTTAAAGTGTAACTAGTGTACTAGGTAATTGCAAGTTCAACCTCACGTTGATTTTTAAAATTTAATCTAAAGTCGAATCTTATTCAGTTGCATTTGAGGCAATCTCTGCAAAAGCCTCGTATGTTAATGTTTACTTTATTACGTGAAATAATTCCAATCTGATTCCAATCAAGGTATATCAGAAAACTGTAATATTGATATATAGCATATTTATGCGTTTAAATATTTGAAAATTCCGCAAATATACCACATTCAAAATTCAGAATTCAAAATACTGTTTGATGATTCAACCAAAATATTCATTTATAAATATTTTTGCTTTGCATCTAATACACGTTACTGACAATTTTATTTACATTTAGTTTAGTGACAAATGGGTTGTTTTGAAAAGAAAACCTCAATTAGAGCCACTCTTCTGAAATCGTGTACGAAATTTCACGAGGAATTTTGAATTTTCTGGGAGCAAAGATAACGAGGCATCATTAACCTTTCTACAATTTGTGATCAGCTACATCTGGCAACTCTGTTTCTGATTACCAAGACATAAACCAAATTTGGTACCTCAAAAATAAAAACGTTTAGAAACAAATTAATTTAGTTTCAACGAGTACAAGTTGTAATATTTGTGATGACAGGACAGGTACCTTTCTGATTTCTTTCTCTTCATTCCGAAAATTTATTCTCAATTTGGTGTTCTCAGTTATACAATATTTAAACATTTTTAAATATTTTAAAAACAAAGAGTACTCCAAAAAAATAAGATACGAACATGTGCCCGGACATATTACAAGAAACATTGCCTTCCACTATATACAAGGTGTCCCAGAATAACGTGTACAACGGAAGACCACAGATTCGTGGACTCAAAATACGCAGATCTAGGCTAATTCACCTATATCCGAAATCGCATAGTTTGGCCGCTAGATGGCCTCAAAGTTGGTGAAAATTTTTTGAATTTTGTAAATAACTCGAACACCTATTAATCGATTTTGATTATTTTTTGGGTGTGGACTTTTGCTTTCGATCTACACATTTTGGTGAATTAGCCTAAACTGCCTATTTTGAGTCCACGAATCTGTGGTCTGCCGTTGTACACATTATTCTGAAACACCCTGTATATGTTTCAATAGCTCACTCTGTATACGGCAAACGCCGCATGAACCTACGAACCAACGCATGCGCTTGCTGCGTTCCCAAATTCAAAATCGCCTTCTGATAATATACAAATAAAATTTTCGATAATATATAAGGAGACATTTTTGGTCGTAAGTAATTGTTTGTGTGATCTGTGCGTAAGTAGAACGTTTGAAATAGTTTAAAGAATATACTTCAACCAAAGGAAGGTCTGGGGAGAAAGAGACGGGAAGAGTCCGTCAGATCAATATAAGCCGTCGCAGTAACGTGGTTGTTGCAGTTTTGTTCAATACCTATCACAAAATAATTCCCGTTAAAACGTGCAAAATGAATCTAATACGCAAGCCAGACTTGAATACTATTAAGAAACAGCCACCGTATCTAACATGAAACCCATAAACTATAGTGATTAACATTTAAAACCACCCTAGCTAATTAGGTACCTGAAATAAATGTGATTGTGTTTTACCTTAATTTTAGACAATTCCCAAGATGTATAAAATCATATTGGCTTCCTTAGGTAATATAAAGTTAAATTATTTTGTTTAATACTTTCTGTTGACTAAAATGAGTACCATAAACATGATTTAGAATTACTTGATATATGGAGAAATTGAAATTCGTAATACTAAAATAGATTTAGTTAGAAGTATCTTAAAATAAACCACATAAATAGGTATAGATATAAAAATAATTTTCGCAATTTCGCGAATTTTTTAATGAGAATATTAACTTTATTGCAGTTTATTTTGTATCTTTTGGAAGTTCTCAGTGGGAGTGTGCTCGTGAGTAAAATATAATAACTATTTCTGTAATTTTGCTTGAAGTAATTATTACTAATACTTATTTAGATTTTTTATAGTAAATTAGTTAAAATTTTTCGTGGAATCTACAATAACAAATTATCAAAAATTTAAACATTACAGTTCGAATGTAAAATACAACCCTTTGCAAAGTTAACCACATTTTTCTATTACTGTACATATTTTATAGTAGTATTTTGTATATAAAACCATTAAATTTAATGCATATTCCAATCTTAAAAAGCTTTGCCGCCACTTAGATTCCTTGAGAATGTACATAAATACAAATTACCAATTCGAATCCAGATTCACGCGAACCTATGTTCGCTAACAATGTTTACGAACAATATCAGCAGTTTGAATTTTTACTAAGAATCGTACTAACATTTGCAAGCTAATAACATTGTCTGTACAAAATTTAGAATACTCCAAGTTCACTCTGACGTGAACAATGTTAATTAACTCTGTTCGTTAACAGTGGTCGCGAATAATTGTTCGAAAAGTTTTAATTTTTGCTAACAATAACATTCGTAACATCATTCGCTAGCAAATTCCTATATTATTTTGTAATGTTATTATAGTCTTTCCGAAGTCAGTTGAACATGTAAAAAAACTCCTGGCAATAAAATTTAATGACTTTCATAGGTGTCCCTAAAAATGTTTTCTGCTAAAGGTACAAACTTATAATAATTTGTATTATAATGTGTAGAAAATTTCTATTATATGTTTATTTGGCCAACAACAACAAATTTAAATTACCTAAATCACACCAAATTCCGCATTGCTGTACTGCACTGCTGGGCAATTTGTCAACCACTTGTCAACACCTGAGATTTATTGCCCAGTGGCCCAATGCAGCTATGTTTGTATTTCGTTTGCCCGCGATCGCATTCTTCAGCTGGGCGTATACATTTCTACCAGCTCCACATTTAGTTCGATCAGACTTGTATATGGGTATGGCTAAATAAATCTGGGAACAAATTTTTCAAATATTTCAATGCCGAGTTGCTGCGTCAGCGACCGAACCTAGTACACACTGTCAACCTATTGGTTCTTCAATTGATATCGGAAAGACTATACAATTTTTGTTAAGTGCCTCTTCGGGCCTTTTCTTATACAAAAAAATTATATGTATACACAAGAAAATGCGGGTTTCGGACGGTGAAATAATTTAACTGAGTGAATATTCGGAAAACATGATTGCCTGGTCGTCCGCTGGTACGGCAATGGGGCCTAGAATAACGTCTCATTTCCATAATTGGAATCGAACGATATTAAGTGGAATAGGCACAAAAAATATACTAATATTTCCTTCGAAACGACCTGGTACTAGTTGAAACGGGAACAGTTTTTTTTTAACAAATCTAATTTTGTTTTTAGCAAGATAAGCAGATTAGACACAGGGTGGTCACCCGAAAATTTCCTGCCACCTTTTCCTTCGTTACTGTTCGAGGAACGAAAAAATATGTAAGAATAAAAGTTGTAGGGATTTTAAAAATTTGTATGGCCCTTGCACCACGAATATAATTGAATGTAGTATTTCCGAGATGTAGGTCTGAGTTAATAATATTTTTTTAAATGGAACACGCTGTATATTTAAATCATTGAAAAGACCTTTGCGCTTTTCAAAGATATGTAATGCTTATCTTTAAAGTCTCCGAAATTAACATATTTGTTATTATTGTGTAACAAGTCTTAGTGGCTCATAAAGCGTGGTATCTTGTGAATAAATGTTTTTCTATATACATATAACAAAATATTAAATAAACTAACCGTTCTTAATTATGAATACCATTTTTAACAAACGAACACTATTTTACAATTCGCCATATTCGTTTAATATTATTACCAACCCGTTTTCTATTTTCTATTTTTAACATTTTGTTGCCTCTCATTTGGTATTGTTGTTCCAGAAATATATTTTAAAGGAAAAGTCCTAAGAAATTACACAGGATGATTTAGTCATAATGTCATTAATTTTAAGGAAAAAGAGGGGAAAATTAGTAGAATTCAAATACGTGACTAAAAAAATTTTAAAATGCATATTTACGCTGAAAAAAAATATTTTCAAATCATTATTTAAACCCCTTTTCGGACCGCTCCTGACCGCTGGCCCACAAAGGTTTATCGAGAGTGAATCTTGACCTACCGTATTATTCGGTCACTAACCTAATTTTTACTGCGTTTTTAATGCGTAATGAACGACAAGGAGTAAACAGATCTTTTTACCTAGAAACATGCATAAATAAGATATTATTTTCAATTTTCAATTAATTATTCAGTTTGTAGTACGTATACGTAGCTTTTCAAAGAGTAGTATGGCACCTACCTATTTAAAATGACGGTACGGCTAAAACAACACTCATCTGTCCATAGCACTTGATAGCATAGAACTGATCGCAAAATTCATGTCGACTGGAGAAATCAGCTGTTTCTCTTCAACGTTCAAAGGTTCTGTGGTCCGCTGGCGCGTTCCTGGTCAGAAGATGTGATGCGACGTAGGGCGCCGAATTAGCGGGAGTTCTAGGGTAATTTTCTTATCTTTTGAAAGATCGAGCAAATGTAATGTTTTGCCTGCCTTTATTAGGTCTTCCGAATACGTAGTTATAATTAATGACATTATGACTGAATTATCCTAAAAAATAAGTAGAACCAATTTTTTATTTTATTTAGTACAAATTAAATGAAAATGGAATTATTTCTGGCTGAATTCCTATATATTTTAACTAATTTGTCACTATATCGCATGTCTCTATGTCTTCAAACATTTTATTTTAGAAAACAGTTAAAGATATGTACGAGTATTATATACAAAATATTAATAAAAGCTCTTTTGACAGATTTTCCAATGGTGTACATGGTGTTCTACTTAAAAAAAAATATATGTGTATCTTGGAAATACGACATTGAACTGACATTGTGGTATCTGTAATTTTTTTTATTTTTAACTTTTTTCTTATCTCGAACAATAAGAGAAAAAGAGGAGAGGTGATCATTCTGTTGCAACTCTTTACGTCAATGGTTCAGGACCTTGCCAGAATGAACAAATTTTCTTTAAAAAAATTAATGTCAATACTTACACGTTTTAAAATATATTTATACCTAATTCAGACAGAAACTGAAAATCTGTTAGAAATATCTAATGAAATTCATTTCTGACAATCAAAAACTAAATAATTTAAAAAACAGCACTAAGTACCAAATGAAAATGTGATAAAGCCTTCAATAATGAGAACAACAAAAATACATTGCAATATTTTATTAGAAATTGTTTATATGAAGCAAATTATTTATTTAAAAATATTTGTTTGGAAGACTGATTTATTGCGTAACTTTGTTACCTCTTGTAATTTTTCGATAAAACCGATAGTTTTCTAGTAAAAAAAAAAATAGATGCGTCAGTGTTCATTAAAGGGGTAATGGCAAAAATTTGTAAAAATAAAGTAGGCGGATGTCATAACAAATAAATTGTTATTTATCATATTAATAAATTGACGCTTTCTGTCAACCAATAGTTAGTACCAATTGATTAATTTATTATCAGAATAATTATGCAAATGCTCCAAGTGTTTTTCGAATCCAGAAAAAATAGTAACGCTGCAGTAAGATTATACCATCAAAGATATCCAAACCGACCGATTCCTCATAGACAAACATTGGCCTCGGTGGAAAGAAGGCTTCGCGAAAGCCCAATCGTGAGGGTGCCGGAAGAAGGCGTAATATCCGAACTGTTGAAACTGAGGAAGCTATACTGGAACATCTAGAACAAAACTGTTGTACAAGCACAAGACAGGTGTCCAGGCAACAGCAAGTTTCTCACAGTCTCGTGTGGAATGTAGCTCATGAAAATCTTTTATACCATTTTCACCATCAACCCGTGCAAGAATTGAATAACCCTGATTTACCTAACCACGTGGATTTTTGTCAATGGTACATTAATATTTCCAGGCATGACTTAAATTACCTAATGAATATACTTTTCACCGATAAAGCAAATTTTCCTAGAGTAGGTGCAGTAAACCTTCATAATGTTCATTCATGGTCGGAAGAAAATACTCATGAAATATTTGTTTCAAGATGTCAACATAATTTCTGTTTAAACGTTTGGATGGGAATTGTAGGAAATATTATTCTTCCACACAGGCTTGGAGCGGCCGAGTATCTTAGATTTATGAACGAAAATATTCAACATTACTTGAGGATGTACCCCTCGGTACACGTCGGGTGATGTGGTATATGCACGATTAGGCGTCTACACATAGTACACTTGCCGTTAGAGAATGGTGGTCGTGGTCGTGATGCCCCTGTTTGTTGGCCTACACGTTCACCTGACCTAACGCCTATGAATTTCTTTTTGTGGGGACATAAAAAGTATTGTTTATGAAACTCCTGTTACCTCCTTAGAAGAACTACGCTTAAGAATAAATATTTCAGGCAGCAGATAACCTTCGCAATAACCAAGAACTGTTTGTGTTAGTGCATTATAACTCCAACAGACGTATTAGGTTAGGTTATGCTTGCAGCAAAATGGAAATTATTTCGAGAATATTCTTTAAATTTAATTTTGCATTTCTTGTGTTTCGTTTGTATTAAATTTTATTTCAGATAAATAACTTGACCTAATACATGTCCCATAATAATAAGTTATCATACATTTTTCATTAATTAATAGCAAATTATTCTTAATGTTATTATTAAATTACCAGCTTATTGACAGAAAGTGTCAATTTATTAATATGATAAATAAATTTATTTGTTATGACATTCGCCTACTTTATCTTTCCAAACGAACGATGACGCATCTATTTTTTTTACTAGAAAACTATCGGTTTTATAGAAAAATTACAAGAAGAAAAAAATTGCTTAATAAATCAGGCTTCCCAATAAATATTTTTAAATAAATAATTTGCTTCATATAAAAAGTTTCTAATAAAATATTGCATTTAAGAGGGTATATCGGCTATGATTACATTATTTTACAATTTCAACATTATCAGGTGTGTTTTATTATAATTGTTTTAGATATATAATTTTAAATTTTTATTTTAGATAACAATTTATTGGCCGTTTATTGGTTATTGCAGGTATAATTCAATGCTAGTTTGGGCACGTAGCCTAAAGAATCGTTGTTTCTCACAATATCTGCAGTTAGGAATTTTGTCTGTGAAGTTAGGTATCTTCCACATTCTAGATTTCTGTTATCGAAGACTGGACTTCATTTAATGAGAACTTTTTAGAAAAAAATTTAAATTGTTTGAATTAGCTGAATGCCTTTAAAGTAGATTAAGAAATAATAAAATAATATCGATTTCACTTTGATTCATTAGAATTTTTAATATCTTAATAACTTAATTATGTAATATTAAACTTAATAACACAGTAAATGTATTGAACTGTTTCTTGCCTTTCTAACACATCATTCATACTCACTATTCATCACAATTAAAATTCCATTCGGAAAAATGTGGTTAAATTGGGCATAAATAACGAATGAAGTAAAATCAGTGAGGTTCCCTTATTTTGTGATAAACCGAAATGCTCATAAACGATCGCGAGGATGAGTACAACATTTAAAAAACACAACAAAATTTAATGCAAAACAATAATTAATATGATATATGCTTTATTTTTCAGTGATAATATTGCTAGCTATAACAACAGTTTGTAAAGCTGAATGCCAAAGTAAGTTTGTTATGTATGCATTTGTTTAATGTGTTATCTATGTGTTAATAATAATTGTTTCTAACAAATAAGTTTAGATTGCTTTCATGTCTACAATTTTTCTCTAGATTCTATAGTTTACAGCTGAGTGTAGCTCCAGATACTCTTTTTGATCATGTACATACAAAACACACAAAATTACTTGTGGTGGAAATTTTAACTGGAGTATTTTCGTAAGCTCTAACGATAACACTGCATACATCATACTGTATTATTCTTGTAAATAATGTACATAAGCTTGTACGAAAATGCAGCTTCAGTGGTTCACAGTAAAGAATAAATTAAGTTACGTCAATTGTTTCTTTCAAATTTGACTTTTAAAAGTGGTCGTTGAAAGGACCACGAAAGTTTCGTACCCATCAGTCCTCATCAGTGCAGTATAACGTCGCACTGATTGTAATTACGTAGTTATAAATATTTTCCATTAGATCAAAGTGAATAGCAAAGCGACAGATAAACTGATCGAGCTAATTCATTTTCCACGAAAGTGCTGCCAGGACCGGTGACCCAGATTACCCTTGCACTACTTGAGACTACATAACTGAAATCAATAACAGGATTCAATTCAGAAGTTGATTTGAGTTACCGTAAACAGAAATTAATGTCGAGGGTCATTGCCAAAATGTTAGATACGAATATAACTTTTGTTTTTGAAATTTATTAAATTAATTAAAGATTTACTTAACTATGTTAAATAAACACCGCTATTACACTTTGTCAACGTTTTTGTCATTTTTATTAATATATAATATTAATTTTTCGTTTTCATATAAGATACACCACAAAGTTAATCAGTTGTAATATATTTTTTTAAGAATCAGTCAAGTTATTTTCCTAATCGTACACATCTACATCTTATAAAAGTTCTTACTTATTTCAACAACTTATATTAAAGAAGTTTTTCGATATATTTTCCCGTCCAAAAAATATTTCAAATCAAAATGGAATTTTAATAATTTTTCGCCTGCGGTTTCCCATTCGCTCTTTCCGTTTTCACTGTTCTGGGTCACCCTGTACATAAATACATATAAATATAAAATTGAGAATATTTTCTGTTTTAAAGATGAAATTAGAAAACAAACTTTCAGTGTACTATAAATGGATGGCAACAAAATTCACTTACTTTAGTAATAAGTAATAATATTTCACTTTTTAGATATCTTCAAAGACAATAAAGGTACAGTAGAATTTTCACGTAATGGCTGTACATATTTTTTAATTTATTCTGTACTGTCTACTAACCACAATTATCTAGTCTGCTTCAATCAAACATCTCTCTTTTTTACTCTCACAAAATTAACATTTTTAAAAACAAATATAGCATTTTGTTACCATTATCTAAAAAATGTTTTCGAAATAACATAATTGACACAGACTATTCAGGGAATTCAAATTCGCTTCTATCTAGAGATTTTGATTTTATTAATAACCATACTGAAATAAAATCGAAATACTAAATTCAGCATGACAATATAGCATACAAAAAACTTGCTTTAGGAGTGACATATATTTAAATATAATATTTTGTAAATTTATAAACTTTCTACCTCGTAAACGAAGTCCTATTTATTAGAATGTTTTTCGAAATTACAAATTATACTTTTATTTAAAACATGTCGCAAATAAATTAGCCTACCACATATAATGGTTTCGATATCACTTTTCATTAGGAAAAAGATGATTTACTGAAAACCATTTCTTCCATTTTATGGCAAATATACATACCATATACAGTCCGAACAATATTTGTTGAAAGAATTCCAAAAAAAGAATAAGCCAATAAAGTTCTGTTATTGAAACTATTGTAACAATTTACCACGTTAAGGGCGTGCCTCAAGGGTGATTCTCAAACGGTGACCAAAAATGAAACCTCGTATTCTTTGGTGAATTTTTGGGAAGTCTTTCATATGAAGTTTTTATCTAGGACGCTTCGTTAAAAAGATACAGGGTGTTAAACTTAAAAAAATGTTTTTAATTTTTTTAAATAATTTAAAAATTAGTAAGTGAAATAATTTGAAATTGGGTATGTATGTAAACATTGCCCAAAGTCTGAAGCCTTCTCCGAAAAGTTAGTGTTCTAGATAAAAACTTTATACGGAAGGCTCCCCTTAAAATTTACCAAAGAATACAAGGTTTCATTTTTGGTCATCGTTTGTAAATAAGGTAGATTTTCTGGATTAAAATGTGTTTTTATTTCTTTTGCAGTACAACAGTACAAATAATGAATAAATTAGAAGATAATACAATTATAAACACCCTGGTACAAAAATAGGAATAAACAAAAAATTGTCTTAAAATAATTGTACACGATAACACGATACTCTTCGACAGGGAGTTAAATTCCCTTCTTTTATTTTTCACCTCCATTGATTTATTTTGAAATAACACACTTACACTTACGAATAAACACACCTTTGTAACTGCAAAATACAATATGCACTGCAAGCGTCTACGGTGAGCGCCACGCCGCCAATGTCTTTCTACCTCGAGTGCCGAATGCGTATAATACCAAGAAAGTGGCGCAGGGGTCTTCTTGGAATTCTACCTCAACAAATAACGTACGGACTGTATTTAGTCAAATTCGTAAATGTCATACTCTAGTAGATAGTGAATAGGAACAATCCCCTACCCCGCACTTAAAATTTTCACCACTCATGTACAATAACACATATTTTTAACACAACTAGCATGTTAACAAGTGATTAGTGGTAGTCGCCAGTCTTTGGGATAAAGTAAATTCCGTGTCCGTGTTCCAGCGAGGCAGATCTACTGCTACGAGTGCGACAGCTGGTCGGATATGAGGTGTAAGGACCCCTTCAACTATACCGCCCTCCCGAGGGATCAGCCGCCCTTGATGACGTGCAACGGCTGTTGCGTGAAGATGGTGCGCAACGCCAAATCGCGTAAGTTAAGTTTCTGATGATCCGTCCCCGGATCTCACCTTAACTAAAGTCACGAAAAAGTATTAAATTGCACATCACTTTAAATAGTTTATTTCACTAACGGCCATTTTGTTAAATGAATTTTAATTCGCGTTTTTTCAAGTGTAGCCCCCTTCCGCACAAGCCTTCGGCTTTTGGATTTGGGGGTTGTCTCATTTCTGTGGTGTGTTTTATGTTTATGTTTAATTGCGATTTAACTAAGCCTAGTTTGGTTGTTAAGGTATGAGACAACTGATTGGCTGTTGCTACGGGACTTAGTTAGATCCAGTTTAAATCTTTGATAAATCGATCCCAAAACAAAATTCAAAGGTATCACCCCAAATTTTTCAATTGAAGCCTAAAACTAGCGGATTTATAAAAAATATATGGCCTTTAGAAAAACATATCACAGGTTTGGTTTTCCAAATTCCGGTGCAGAAACTGATATTTTAACCTTTTTTTTTTTCGTAATTTTCATACATAGTGGTCCAAATGCTCAACCTAGCCGGAAGAAAGTCATAACTCGCTTTTGAAAAGCCGCATTGACATGAAACTTTGCACGTTCATAGATTTTATCAATAAAAACACTCACCAAAAAAATGGGCACAATCTGTAAAATGGGCGTGGCAGATTTTTTATTAAATAAATAAAAACAAATAATATACCTGTATTTATGTAAAACATTATTTATTTATTTATCTAAAATTTCGAATTTTTATCACAAATTTTAATCTACATTAATAGGAGCTATAGAAAGAAATAATGTTTTCAATTTAATGAAATGTGAATATATATTTAATCCAAATATTCAAAATGTTAAAGGCAAGTGAAATGTAAAGGCAAATCAAAGATAACTGAAAATTATTCAAAAAACAACGGCCTGTGGCGAACAAATACAACAAATCGAAAAAGACAATATGTTTGCTTTAATCTGATTCACTTTCTGAATCGAGGAACGACTCTGGTATAGAAGCATCTGAAAGTAACGCAATAACCAAGCATCAAATAGTTCCCTCTTAGTAATGGACATTTTAAACTGTAAATCAAATAAAAAGCATTTAGGCAAAAACTGGCAGCTAATTTTGAAAACATTGACAAGCTACAATCATACAGATTACAAAAACACAAATAATAAAATTAAAATTTTATAAATTCCCATTTAAAACTCTAATTGAATTTGGACATTGAACAAAATGTTTACATATAAGACACACACGTACAAAACTGCATTTTTTTTTCTAAACAAAACATTTTATTTGAAATATAAAAATAGTAAAATTTGTTCCTACCTTCGTTAAATTAATTTCAGCAAAAAATTATTTTAAAAAATTTGTTCTTATTTTTTCACGACTACTTTAATTACGGTACTAAATATCAACTGAGCTATTAATAGAAAAACAAAACAGCAATTACTTGTGTTTAAAACAAGAAAGCAAACCTGAAACAGAAGTTAAATAAATAAAAAATGTACCGTTATGCACTGCGGGCACTTGTCAACTTATTATCAAACAAAATATTTAGTTTCGAAATAATAAAAAAAAATTACTTTCTTCCGGCTAGGTGGAGAATTTGGACCACTGTGCGCTGGACTGAAACAACCGCGCACATTAGCCGCCAGCGCATACACACTTCGCGGTGCTTCGCTGATCTATGGTGCTACGGCGTGCATTGTGGTCAAATCTCATAATACATATAAGAGAAAGGCGGGAAATTTTATCAAGAAGGCTATTATCCCAGATAAACAAAACAATTTTTTTTCTTTTAAATGACAAATAAATATAAATGAAAATAAGTAAATAATATGTTTAAGCACCTAATTTTCGCAGCATATGCTCAAATCCTCATTTCTTCCACTGCTGTTGCTTCATGAACTCCCTTACCTTATCTTATTAACGTCCATGTTCTGCCGAGTGTATTGGCGTTCAATGTTCACATAATCTCTTAAATGTTAAACCAATCTTACAAAGATGTTCATATTTGGTACTTATAGGTCGGGATAATCCATCTGATATTGTCTTACAACCGCGCCATTTGCTTTCTTATAAAAAGTTCTAACTCTTTTTTTCCTTGCCACATAAAGACTATAGTGTCACGGAACACTAAAATAAATAACTTTGTAAGGTTATACATTTACACTAGAAAGACACAAAATTATATTTTGATTCCAGTAAAAGGTCAAACGCAACGCGTCGCGAAATTACTTACCATATTAAGAACACCTCATAGACCGATAAACTAAAAACTAAAATAAATGTTTACCATTTGTTTGTTTTTTGCCTATCTACCAACCTGCCGCCATATCATACAGGGATGGCCAGAAGTATGGAATAAAATTCATATCTTTTGAATGAGTTAATTTTTTTTAAAACGCCAAAACACGTTTACTGATTTTGATTTTTTCCCATCTTTCGGTTATATAATAATTCATTTTTCTTCAACCCCCTAACCCCCAGCTACCCCTACTTTTTTTTTCAAATGGAAACATAACTCGTTGAAAAGCTTATAGAAAACCGAATCCAGCCATACCAAATAAACAAGTTTTATTTTTTCAATAGCAAGGTATTTAGGGTTGTATAAAACACCTACTTAACAAGTGAAATAAAATTTAATTATCTTAACTGTTATCCTCCATGAATTTGCACAGAATAAAATAAAGAATTTGAAACTGTACCTATCATTGCTAACGCAGAAAAGATATCTTTTTTATGTTGCGTTTTTTTGGTACCACTTACTTGCCAAGCTTTCTGGTTAATTTTTCGCCTTAGTTGTAAATTGGAGTGTCAAAATTATTTACTGAATTGCAATGGTATTGTCGGAAAGGCAACGCATCGAAATCTTGATATTGCTTGGATGTGGAGACAAAATAAGAAGTCAGGCTGAAGTGCGCGATTTATTTAATGCTAAATATCCCGAAAACCAAATCTCGCAAGGGACAGTTAGTAAAATATTTCACAAATTTGAGGAACACGGTACAGTACAGACTTTGCCCAAAACTGGACGGGGTGCTTTGAATGAAGAAAAGAAATTAGACATTGCATTAGAACTTGTTGAAAATCCTCATACTTCAACTGTTTCATTGGCCCGCAATCACGATGCTTCTCGAACTGCAATTCGAATGTTTCTGAAACAAGAGAAATACCACCCCTATAAGGTATGTCTTGTCCAAGAGCTTTTGGAAGACGATTATGATAGGCGATTACAATTTTGTGAGGAAATGATGAAACGGTGTGACGACAATAATGGTTTTCAACGAGACGTACTTTTTTCGCATGAAGCTACGTTTTATTTGAATGGAGTGGTTAACAGGCACAACTATCGCTTTTGGTACCAGGAAAATCCACACTGGACATGCGAATCGCATACGCAGCATCCACTGAAAGTTAATGTATGGGCAGGTATCATCAACAACAAAATCTTTGGGCCCATTCTTTTTTGAAGAAAATCTTACTGCCGCACGCTACCTGGATTTCCTAACATTTGACCTAGCTGTGATTTTCCTTCATGAAATTGATCCATATATACCGAATGAAAGAATTTGGTTCCAAAAAGATGGCGCTCTCCCACATTTTGGTATTGATGTTCGAAGATATTTAGATGAAACGTTTCCAAATCGCTGGATTGGTAGACGGGGTACAGTTGAATGGCCGCTAAGATCCCCCGACTTAACACCCCTGGATTATTTTCTTTGGGGATATTTGAAAGAAAGAGTCTACCAGGACAGACCGGATAATATTGAGAATTTAAGGAACAAGATTAGGGCGGAGATGCATAATTTACTAACTGAAGTCATTCGGAATGATGTGGACAGCTTTTACTATCGTCTTGGAGAATGCCAAATAATGAATGGAGGACATTTTCAGCATTTGCGACATTGAGTTCATTTTTGTAAATTATCTAGTTGTTTCAATTTCTAAATGAAAAAAAAACTTGCTATTGAAAAAATAAAACTTGTTTATTTGGTATGGCTGGATTCGGTTTTCTATAAGCTTTTAAACGAACCCCCTCATGCCTTATGTTTCCATTTGAAAAAAAAAGTAGGGGTAGCTGGGGGTTAGGGGGTTGAAGAAAAATTAATTATTATATAACCGAAAGATGGGAAAAAATCAAAATCAGTTAACGTGTTTTGACGTTTTAAAAAAAATTAACTCATTCAAAAGATATGAATTTTATTCCATACTTCTGGTCATCCCTGTATAACTTAGGTGTAAAGTAAAAAGTACTTGCATTCTAGTCGTGCTAACAATGACCAAAACTATATTAGTCGAAGAAACGGATCGAACGGCGCCAAAAACGCGTTTTCATGTTAATCTCCACTACCTCCACCTCTTTTTTATGATGTACGTAAGTCGTGGATGATTCCGGAGGTTCTCAATAAGTTTTATAAATTCGATTATTACTCATTTTAAACACCGTTTTGCAGTTTCAACGATTCTGATTATTGAAAGTGCTTATTATTAATGCATTCTCTAACATTAAAGAATCCTCTCTAAATTTGTAAACACCCTATATACAAAAGTAACGCCTACTGTCATATATCCCACTAAATATTTTACCATTTAATATCACTCTAAAACTGTTTTAGTTACAGATATATTTAATACGTCTTTATTTGAGTATATTTCTTGAATATGTAAGAAAATTACATACATTAGAAAATGTAATAGTATATAGAGTACTAGACAGTGCCGCATTAAGGGGGCGGGCCTCACTAGATCGGGGGACTTCGGCAAGATCTGGCAAAATTTGTTTTTTTTTTAATCAAACCAAAAAGTGTTTATGTTTTGAAATTTTATATCGACAAGTTGCTGATTGTGTCTTTTTTTTAGGATCAAACAATTTTTTTTCTTTTTTTTTAGAAAGAGGGCCTGTGTAGAGCTTGTAGCCGCGGGCCTCACCATAGATTAATCCGGCCCTGGTACTAGATAGCAATTATCATATAAGAACATACAAAAGTTGGGTACTGTCAACCGAAATAGATAACCCAAAACTTATTCATAGTATTCAGAAAAACGTGTACGAATATTTCACCAATAATATTTTTATACTTTCTAGTTACATCTCAAAAGAATAGGTAATTTATTTTACCTTTGTCAATGTTTACGTAACTATATAACAGCTTAATAAGCTGTGACTATATTATTATATATACAGGGTGTCGCACTTAAATGTGATACAAGCCTGTAGCTTCTTTATTTTTTGACCGATTAAAATTTTTTTTTTTAGAATGTAGGATAAAAAACTATCTAACTGTAATAGTGCTGTTTTTATTAATGCAATTCACGGCCAACTAGGACGCATTTTTCTGACGTCAACACAACTAATTGATATTAGCGATTTTTTCCCAAAAAAACAGATTACGTATTCTCATTCAGCATCCCTTAAAATGTCTTATCACCAAATTTCATCAAATTCGACACATCTTCAGACGAGCACTAGTTGGCCGTGTATTGCATTAATACACAAAACATAAAAACAGCAATGTCACAGTTAGATAGAGTTTTTTTTAGCCGGCATTCCAAAATAAAAATTTTTTAAATAGACCAAAAAATAAAGAAGTTACAGGCTTGTATCATATTTAAGCGCGACACCCTGTATATGGTGTAACAGCGACGTTCCAACAAACTTTGAAGATTGATTCCTCAAATACAATAGAAAACCGTTTTTAAAGCTCCAGTTTTCGGCTAATTATTCAAAAACCATTGAAGACATAGAACCTAAAGTTGGTAAAATACAGTTCCCCTCACATAGCAGTCCTAGATGTAAAATTTGAATAGAAACTAACCAGTGGCATTGAATTTGGGAGGTATCTGGAAAGATTCAACTTCAATATTAAATAGAATTTTCTCTTTCAAATTATAATAGAGCATTTTTAATAAAAGCTTTTGTACCTTTTAGACTTTTCTCACACCTTTAAATATCAAATCAAAAAGAGGGTGCATTTGATGTAGAATGATATGAAAATGGACTACTTTGCCACTACGCATCCTACCCTCAAAGCTCAACTAAATTTAGATTATATGTAAGTTGTTTGTCTCAGCTCTCGTGACATATCGTATACACCGCTAGTAAGAGCTGAAAATAATGCCGAGCTACATGCGGTTTTTTTTTTTCTTTGCCAGTAAACAATGACAGAGACAGAGGAGGTGTACTTAATCCTCCTCTTCATGTTCATATAATCTCCAACTCATGGATGCTCAGCTTAGCTCTGCTGAGGAACTTGTTAAGATATCAATCATCTGTTAAGTCTTGTGAAAATCCGAATGTTACTTTTCCGTAGCATGCTTATTTTCCAATTTGCATCAACCCTTTATATGTGCTGGCTGATGTAGCTACCTACATCAAAAAGCTTCACTATACCAAGTTTGAATCTCTTCACACTTCAATGGTACTTGATAAAAAAACGTTGTTTCTTGAATAATCTTTGAAGAAAACCTATAGGAATTGTTTTAGACAAATAATTTTACTGTTTTTTGTTTGTTTTAACGAAAGGATCAGCACTGGACGTTGCTGTTACACTCTATGTAAAGACACGACTGTAAAATCACTTTTGAACAACAAAATTTTGCTGTCTTTTTATCCAACTTGATACCGAAGACTAAAACCAAAGCCTATTATTGGAGCAAGCTTTCACTGAATTCAGAATCTAAGTCGAGGGTCGCTCCAATCTGCAAACCTTCATTTTAATCCTGCATATTATTTTTATAGCATACGAGGTGGTGAGAAGAACCTGCACGTCCCAGCTCCAGATCAACCTCTTCATGGTGGATCATGTATGCATGATGGAAAGTAGCGGAACAGGCCACATGTGCTTTTGTGAGGAGGATATGTGTAACAGGGCACAAAACACTCTGACTACCACCCAATTAACAACCTTACTACCCGTAGTGTCTGTACTTGTTCGCCTGTGCATGAATAGGTAGATACTAGATGGGCGGGTCTTAACAGAATGCCAACACTGACGCCCGTCGAAACATTGCTTCAAATTTGTGCCTCTGTCGAGTAGAGGTGACAAAGTAGTGACTATTTTCAGTCTTAGATACATTGGAATGCAATAAAATGTTTAAATTTTTCTCTCTAATAAGCTTCATGCATTGATGAAGATACTATACATTGGAATCCACAAACAGTGAAGGACTATACATATTTATAAATAAAATCCCAAAACTTCTCTACAGAAGATTTTGATCATTTTTGTCTATACAATAATAAAGGCCTTTGGTCAATTAATCCTAATTGAATTTATCTGGATCATTACTTTTTTATGTCACTTCCATAGTAAATTTCATCAGGATAAGAAAGAATAAATAATACAATACAGACACTATTCAGATGACACAACAAGACTACCTTCCTTTATAGTGTTTTTTTTTCCGAAGGTTTCATTTCTGAATTATAAGGAAATTCTTGTCAATTTTTGAGGCAATGTTAGAATCGTTGTAGTAAGTAGAAGTAGTAGAATTAAAGATATTTACACCTTAGACTTAGTAAAAAGATCAAAAGTTTTAAATACATATAGTGTAAGATTTAGGCTGATTAGTTGATAACACTTCTCAACATCCTATGCGTTGAGAAGCTAGTTTGACAATTAGATATTGCCCTATGGTTAATATGCTAATTAGAGGGTATAGAAGTGAACTTTTACTACTAATGTACTACCATGCCCCATTTCTTATTAACTTCCCTTCTCGATTCTCCATAAAAGGAGAAATAAAAAATATTATTTTTCCAGAGAAGAAACTTTGTACAAAATTGTAAATAATCATTATTTTGCTTTAAACATATAAGAATATATGTTTCAGTTAAATTTTAATAAAAACAGTGACATACAAAGGAATTCATTTAAACATTGTAGGAACCTATAGCAATAGCTTTTTGAAGTATCAAAGTTTTAAAAAATTATATGAAGAATTGTAAATTATGGTAAAAGAAATGATATATTATTCATGTACCTAACTAATAAATTTTATCTGCATACATTTTGAAGGGTTCCTGATATTCGTCTACTTTTAAATTTTTGCTCTAATATATATATAATACCTATTTATAAAATCATCAACTTTAAGAGAATTTTAATGATACAGTGCTAGGGTCTATAATGAAAGTTCTACCTTAGCAGATTGACAATGTTAGTGGCAATAATCGAAGATCACAATAACAAATTTAGACTAGTTACATATCTTTTACTATCTTTGTTTGAAAGACTTACCTATGTTGTAACAGCAACACCAGTTTTACTTGAGTGTGTATTATACTAGGAATAGTAAGGTAATAAGCATTATTACGCAAAGGTAGCATATCAACTAAGTGTTACACTGACCTAAATAATTATTGTTCATAAACTAATTGTTCATTTCTGAAAAAGAACTGATCACTATAAATCAGATACATAAGGTTTCGACGATAACTCAGTTTATTTTCAGAAATATTTTAAACATCTCTATATATAATTGTTATTCTAGATAGATGCTCAATTTTCCCATTGTATAAGTCCATCTATACATTAAATTATTTGTTAGTTTGTGGTATATGATCTGAAAAATGTATATTCTTCAAAAGTTATATTTAGACTTAGAAAGCATGTTTGCACGATTTGCACAGAACTTTAGCAAAAATCTGCAAATTGTGGCATGAAGAAAATAAAAGTAAACTCCACATAAAACTGTAGATGCAATAATATTTGTTAAAACATTTACCTTTCCTTAACAATTTTATTATACTTCATAGAGCTTATTTGGAGTTTACTATGAATTTTTGTTGTCATCTAAAATTTGATCGTTACACTCATTGCGATAGGTACAGATTTAAAATGAAGCACTGCCTGTTTAAATAGAATGTATAAATATGTTTGATAATTAAATATAATAAACTTGGCAAGTCCTAGAATCAATTTAATTTCAGTTGTTCTCTTAAACCAAAAATTTAATTGAAATCTATTTATTCCTACATAAGAATATATTTAGTTCCCTGTATAAAATTTGTGAAAGATATGTAGGGTTATCATGATAACATTATACATTAATAATCAAACGGGCAATGTTTTGCAATGCAAAAAATGGTTATGGCAAGCATTTCGTCAAATAAATGTTACAGCGATAGAGGCTTCCACCCATTTTAATGTCACTCTCGTAAATTCTGCACAAGTTTTAGTTTAACCACTGTATGAAAAAAAGTCTGTTATATGCATGATGAAAAGAAAATTGTGATGTTTCCATTACACGCTCCACCACCACTCTCCACCTCACAAAAGTAATTTAGGGCCTTTCTCGTTATTTACGTTATGTATGCTACTGACATTTCCCAATGGTACGACGTAGTACTCGATAACCCGATAAATTTTTCTTATATCGCGTAATATGCCGTCGAAGGGAAATGTCGGAATTCCAAGATATGTATATAAAACTGATATGTACATTACTATATAACTGTTAACATAGTTTTAAAAATCATATCAAAATGTAAAATAAATATTTACGATTTCCAAAGCTTATTTTTGTTGATGAAACCAGAATTTGATAACCAACAAATTACGAGATGCAACAACCTTAAGAATTCATACGCCAAATTTTAGGTTAAGTATGGTGGTTTGTAAGCAATTTACACCATTTGTGATAAAAAAGTAGTGCTAAAAATGTTCCACAATTATATTCTCCAGCTACATAGTTTAATTGATTTATACGTCTGATTAGACTATTAATTAAATAATCTTCAGGGGAAAACGATGTACGTTTTTTTGTGAAGTTCAAAGTGCGAAACGAACATAACCTATATATATAATTTTAATTTAGAATATTTTTTAAAAAGTTCACGTTTATAAATAAATAATGTATAGTCAAAAGTGTTTACTTAAAAATATTTGTTTAGGTAAGTAACAGCCTAGTTAAAATAGAACATTAAATATATTACCTAATTCTCATCACTTCAAAAGAAAATACATTTTCCAAGATCTGGAACAAAATTAATGCATACTCAACATTGCTTCATTTTCATATAGTAATGCTCATATCTATTGTACTGTACAATAACATAAAGCTAATTGCAACGAAAAAAATGTGCATTATTTATTTGTTTAAATTAAGAAAAAAAATAAAATTTTATCTAGGTTGGTATTACAAGCGAGATAAACATACTTAAGTATAGACAACACACTTTACACATTATAGCCAACATGAAAAAATTCAAATATGTAATTTTAAAAAATACTTCAATTAGATTAGAGGGTAGGTATGAATTAAGTACCTACTTTAAGTCATTTTCATTACTTTTAATTGGCAAATTGACGTTGCTGTAAGTGTCTAATTTCTAATGAAAATGTGTATGTGTATTGTAAAAAACATTTTCATATTGCTGATACAAGTTATCTTATTTCCTCTGAGAATCTTGAATAGTAGTATGTTGATTAAAAAATATAAGTAAATATTGTCAGTGTTAAATTAATTAAAAATTGAGTAATCAGTGCAGAATATAAACATTTCATCAGAATGTAATATGGCATAAATTAGTTATAATGTCTGGGTTTATATTCCAGAATAAGAGCTTTGGTAAATAAAATTTACCTTCATTTTTTAGGAATAAGTAATATTTTAAGTACATCGGTGCATAATTCCAATAAGGCAAAATCTATGAAGATAGACAAAGTTTTAGTTATTTCAAAATTATCTCGATATGAATTCGAAAAATATAAACATAAAAACTTGAATGATTGTGAACTAAAACAGTTACTTAAGAATCGAGGGACTGATTTTGAGAGGCTAATTCATTTTCACAACACACATAAATCATTTGAAGAAAATGTCATATCTACTTTAAAAAATATGGGAATTGATGTAGAGGTGGCCAATAGGTAAGTACAATACACACAGCTTAAACAAGTGTATATGTGTAATTAATGTCGCATAGATTGAACTGTGATGAAAATAAGATAGAAAAGGCTGACGTTATAATACCAACGGGGGGTGATGGAACATTCCTGTTAGCAGCTAGTAGAGTTAGGGATAACCAAAAGCCAGTGATTGGTTTTAATTCGGATCCAACCAGATCGGAAGGTCATTTGTGTCTCCCTAAAAAGTATTGTACTAACATAAGGGCAGCAATTGAAAGGCTACAAGCGGTAAAATATATTGGATGTAATAACGGAGGAGCTTAAATAAAATTGTGTTTATTTTAAGGGTGATTTTGAATGGTTATTGAGAAGTCGTATTAGAATCACAATGGTAGTTTGTGAAGAGAAAGACTTAGTTCCAAAGTACGTGCACGGAATCGAGTATGATAGCATTTGTCCCATTCGTCCAAACAATGGAAATGAAAAAGTTTTACCTGTTTTAGCTCTAAATGAGGTTTTTTCCCTAATACCATAATATTGGTCTTATATTTTGTATTACTATTTCTTTTTAGGTATTTATTGGAGAAACTTTGTCTGCCAGAGTGTCTCACCTACAATTAAGACTAAATGGTTCTACGGAAGTAACAAGTGTAAAGTGCTCCGGTGTTTGCATTGCGACTGGCACTGGTTCAACCTCGTGGCACTTGAGTATTAATAGACTACCGGTGCAAAGTGTTGCCGAATTACTAAGACTAATCGATATCGATGCAACTGAAGGGAAAGACAGCCTTGCAACAGTTCTAGCTGATATTTACAATAAAAACTTAATATTTTCACCAGGTAATTAAAAAAAAAAAACAGTGACTTACCTTAAATGAAAATAATAACCTATTTCAGATGATAAGAGAATGGGCTACACAATCCGTGACTTAATATCAGGTGGTGTTTGGCCTAATCCTAAAGGGATAAAATCAAGAGGATTTGCTACAAAAATCGAGGTTAAGTCAAACTGTTTTGATGCATCATTAGTAGTTGATGGAGGAGTATCATTCACTTTTAATGATGGAACTATAGCTTTACTAGAAATTCTTCCTGAAGATGCATTGAGAACGGTCGTCTTTAAAGACTAAAGAGAAAATGGATAAATAAAAATGAACATATTGGGATATTATGTAAGGAGAAATGGATTAATATTTGATATATCTTAATAGGTACCACAAATTTAAGTTCTGAATGTGTAAATAAAAATTTCAATGTATTGTGATAGATTTACACGGACCTGGTTTTTATTTTTTTTTAATATTAATTTTATATATTCAATTGTATTATGATAAATTTCAATAAAGATCTATTTTAAAATTGCTGTGAAAAATATATGGTCTAAGTTTAATCATTAAATTATTAAATAGATACGTTTAAAGGAAAAATATAGCAAATATTTAATAAGAAAGATATTAAAATGTGAGGGGCCGAAATCTGGAAAATTATAATACATAATCACATATTTTTTTTGGATACACAACACACAAGTCATACAACACGAAGAGCGGGGAGATATAGTGTTTACGAAGCCTTATAAGAACTAAAAGTCGGCATCTCGACTTTTACGCCTCCTACACACGGGACACGGGCGACACGGACGGTAGCCGACCGTCAGACCTGACGGCGACTTTCTGTGTGTAAAGAAAGATGTATTTAACTATGTGTAATTTAAAATTTTAGTAGTTGTTTTGCCGATTGTTTTAAATACCGATCGACAAAATACCGTCCGTGTGTAAGAGCCCTTAGTTTTTATACGGTTTCAACTATCTTCGTAAACACTATACTTATAACAAGTTCTAAAATAGCAGTTAGACAGAGTAAGAAGAAGAATAAGAGAATGTTTTTATTGAGATATAAAACAAAATTCACTAAAATCATTCCAAACAGAGACTAGATAGACAGCCAGACGTCAGACGTCAAAGTTCCGTTCTATTCAGCATTCAGTCGAGTTCATACTGCTTTCTTGGTTGGGTTGTGTTGTTTATTACTGCGCTGGTGTAGTTCGCGTGTGTTTTAAATGAAATATGTTCCAACTTGCCAATAAATTAATTAGTGTATAACAAAAATCACCAACCACAGGGACCAGGAATAATTTTATCTCAAAATGGCTAAGAGGTTAACCGAAGAAATGGTTATTGCCAGAACCAAAATATCAGATCTTTCCAAAATAAAAAGATTGAATTGTTGGTAAGTCATATTATAATTGACACAGAAAAATCATTTCACACCTTTGTTGTTCTAATGAAAGTTTAATTTACAAAACGAGCACCATTAAGTATAACATACCAATTAAATCAATTTTTGAAATTTGTTTTTGTGCATTTATTAATTAGGAATATTTATAGGGGTAGTGAACTCGTTGATGTTTCCCTTTTAAGGAAAATGCCATGTGTTGAAGTTCTATCATTAAGGTAAGAGAACTATTTTAATTTGATTCAACATAGTGTCCCATACACATTACATAAATCATTTTGTTTTTTTTTGTATTGCTTTGTTATAAGTTATAACACAGAACCGTAGGTATATGTATAATAAACGACAAATAATTAAGTTAAAAAAAAACTCATTAAGAACTATACATTGACTTAAAGTACTTAGGTAAATTAAAATTACCAAAATGGTCAGTCAGTCAACATAAGTGACTCATTAAAAATTGACCATCGAATATTTAAATAGACCAACTTTTTCCCTATATGTTAAATATTCCATTAAAATAATTTTCCTTAAATATGATCAAAGGTAATCATTTCATGTGGAGTTACTTTGAAAACTTTCAAACAAAGGGCAAAAGTATATGCAACGTAATTTTTCCAAAATCTGCTACCTTAGGTACCTATGTAGAACATGCAATAAAAAAAAACATTCATATCGTGCGTCCCAAAAGAATTTTAGAGAATATATTGATTCTTATTAGGCCACACTGTATATTTTTTGTTTCAACAACAATAATTATAGTTTTACGTTATACTAATATAATAATCTTAGAGTAAAAAATAATATTCGAAACTGATTAAGAATCTGTTTATTCAGTGCACCGATAATAATTTACAATTTTATCTATAAATAAATTTAGAAGTAACATAAAATTCAAGTGTTACCGAATAATTAAAATGAATATGTTTATTATGATAGGTAATTTGGATATGATTATTGGAATATGGGGAAAGTTTGTACATTTTTACATATTCTAATTAATTCTAAAATGTGTATCTGTATGATCGTAAAGAAAGTTGATTTTTTGGAATTTTTTAATTACTTGCTCCTTGTAGAGATACTTAAATGAAATTCAGTGAAAGAAGAAATAGTAAGACATTGTAAAATAAGTAACCTACTATAATAATTATATGAAATAATAGAATCACCTCGAGGGAAAGTTAATAAAAACATTTAATTACAATGATTTTGAGAGTAAATTAAAATGTTTCCATCACGATTCCATACTGTCCTCGATATTAGCATTGCTAAAATATCTCCCAGTACATTTATAACAATTTAATAGGTACACGAAACTTGAAACGGTAGTCTCAATAATATAGAAGTCGATTGGAAGAGATGTTCAGGAAAAGTTTGCAAGGCATTAGACGCCAACATGGGCGCCAGAATAAAGAAAGGCAGTCCAAAGTATGTCGATGCTTAAATGCCTTTCAAATGGGGATAAATCTGGAGGGTCTTGTTTGTATAATATCAGATGGCTAACTGAAAAGGAAATACCAATTTTGATGTTAAAAATTACATTTTAATTTTTATACCTTGAAAAAACGTTGAAACTATGTTCAAAATAAAGAAAAGCAACTAACCTTCAGATGATTTAAGTCATAAATGCAAAAACGGGCTAAACAAACAAGTTTTAACCAAATAAGTTCAAAGTTATTTATCACGGTTTTTTTATACCATGAATATTTGTGTAATATAGATTTAAAAAATTGTTTTTCAAGCGGGGAAGAAGGTACCATAATTTAAATTACAGGATTGCGAACAAATTATAACAAATCACTTAATTTTTAAATAAAAAAATGACCTTCGCACACCAGAGCACACTTTACAGTTCATTCCATATCTCCGTTCGTCGCTCATTAAAAATAAACCAGTCCTATTACTGTCTTGCTCTTAACGACTAAAAATATTATCGGAAATGTCTTCCTGTGTCATTCATCACTCGCCAAGAAGTCCGCTAGCCGTCATCATCATCGTAATGATCATTAGTGGCAGGTTGCGAGCGCAAGTCGAACCAATTGGCTGCCTCAGATGATGGTAACGGAAACGAATAAGTAAACTATAATTCCGTTAAAAATTAACAATGATAATTCTAATCATGCACGCGTGGATGGTCTTAAACACCACCGTGAGAAAGTCTCGTCCATTGTTTCAGCGTGTTCGCACGAAATCTTGATGAACTGAACTCATACATGCTATTGCATATCGCCGTTTCTGGAAGTGCAGTACACCCATAAAAGCTGTACAGGGTGATTCATTATATTTTGACCCCCTCTGTAACTTTTTTGTTTTAAGAGTTATAAAAAAATGTGAAATATAAAAGTTGCATGATTTTTTATGAAGTTTTCGAAAATGATAGTAGAAAAACAAATGAAATCCAAATAAAATGGCCACGGATGTTAACTTTAAAGTAAATGGAGTAAATTAAGGATTTTATAGATTCGGAAATACCAGGAAAATATCAAGGAATTTCTCTAAGCTCCATGGAATTTTTTTATATTGCATTTGTAATCGTTAATTTGTGAGGAGCTGCTACTGGAGGTACGTTGCTGAAAAATAAAATGTTACTACGATACTTCCATTCTATTAATATTGCATATCTCTGATCTGTATATTTATTAATTGGCTATTATATTTTTTTATTAAGAGTATACATTTATCGATATTATAAATGGAGTTAAGTTTTTTTTTCCCACAATAAGTTCTAATTTGATCAGAAAATTGTTCCTTGATTTTTATCATTTTAGTACAGAGGTACTGTTATTACAAGTAGGTATTACAAATAAAATTGAAGAAAACAACTAGTTTTACATCATTAGATTTTTTTTAAACGGAGATTTTGTTTCTGTATGGAAAATTAAATTCATCAAAGTAAATTGAAACATAATTAGGACTTAGCCAAAGATTACAATAATATAATTTTCCAAAAATCCTGCAGTATAGGTTGTCGGTGTAATCAAACTAATAAACATTTGCTACTGTAAGTAATTTTCCAAAGTCATAGATAAAACTGTTTCCCATTTGGTGCAAATTTTATGGCGTCATTGTATAATTTTTTAAATAATCGTAATTCATTAATTATTTCTTTGAAGATACTGTCAAAATGTTTGGTGGTGGAAATGTTTTATTGTAAGGTGTAATAGTAAGAGTTTAAATAACTAGGTGGATTTCACAAGAGTCTAAAGACACTTAAAGTGTACGATAATTCAATAAACACAGAAATCTAAATAAAAAATTAGATAAATTTGGAACGAATGGGTAGGTACATTGAAGATGAATTTTTCGAACAAAACGTTTGCAAAGGTTTGCAAAAAATGTAATAAAATTTCCAGTGTCGTATTTAAAAAAATGAGGTTGCTGTAGAGACGAAACGTTACATATAAAAATTGATTATGTTCTTTTTTCAATATCACCTCTAACAAAGCTGAATTGAAACAAAAACGGATTTCCAAAATTTCGTTTTTTTTTAATATTTCAATAAACTAATCATGTTAACCTAGATTTTTAGAGGCATAATGTTGGTCCTCTGATTATGCAACTTTGCGCCTATGTAAGCTACTTCGTATCTTTTACCGTTTCCGAGATCCTTGTAGTGAGAATTTATAACAGTTTTTTATATGATATACTATTTATATTGACAACTCTTCATAACTTCGATTTTAGGAAAAATTGAAATTTTCTGAATTTTTCCGATTTCCATTATTGTGTGTTTTTCCGGTTAATAATTCTTCTGGCAATTTTGATTCTCTAGTTGCACTATACAGGGTAGCCCATCGAAAACGTACCGCAAGGCATTACAGGGTAGTAAAGAATTTTTCGGCAAAATCCAAAAACATGTCACATTTGTTTCTGAGGGGGACAACTTTTGGCTCAAAAAGCATACCAAAGTCTTCAACCCCCTAAGTGGGGGTGCTATCCCCTAAATTTTTTCAAATGGGAATGGGGGTCAAGTGGGGGGTCATTAGAAAGGGCTTTTAATTCTCTATACATCGATTCTTACTTTTTGAAAATCGATTCATTATTTTAGAAAATATGCAGCTTTGAAAATACGAACAATATTTTTGACGAGAAATGCGAAAATCGATTTAATTTTACTTCAAAACTTACGGTATTAGTCAAGTAAATGCTGAAAATGTTGTCCGCCAACTTGCATACAATGATACAGGTTGTCTTCAAACCGTTGTCGAACATTCTGGAGCACTTGCGGTGTTACTTCGCGACATACATTAATGATTCGTCCTCGCAGATCTTCCAAGGTATCAGGTGGAGTGCTGTAAACTTTGCTTTTAATGTGCCCCCAGAGAAAGAAATCTAAAGGATTTAAGTCGGGTGACCGAGGGGGCCACTCAATTGCACCTCTTCGTCCTATCCAGCGTCCTGGAAACGTCTCATTTAGGTAATTGCGCACATTGAGCGAGTAATGTGGAGGAGCTCCGTCTTGCTGGAAAATCAGTTCGTGTTCATTGTAAGCAGGGTCGTCCTCTATGATATTTGTTAGAGCTGGGTCGATGACATTTTGTAGTAAATCCAAGTACATATCGCCTGTCAAATTTCCAGGAAGGAAAAAAGGACCTACAATGGAATTTCCAAAAATACCTGCCCATACATTCAACTTCTGGGGGTGTTGGGAGTGTGTCTCATGGAAAATCCTTGGATTGGTATCAGCCCAGTAACGACAATTATGGCGATTCACTAAACCATTCAAGAAGAACGTACACTCGTCCGAAAAACACACATTAAAGAGGAAATTATCGTTTATCGCTCGTTCAGTCATTATTTCGCAAAATTGCAAACGACGATCAAAATCGTCTTCATTTAGCTCTTGCACTAGCCGAATCTTATAAGGATGGAATTTGTATTTTTTTAATATTCGTTGGACACTTGTACGACTCACTCCTGTCGCAGTAGCCAATTGCATTGTACTCAGCGTACTATCCATTGCCACTTGCCCCAATACCGCTATTTCCGTAGGTTCATTTAGTACCGGATTTTCAACCTGCCTCTTTTTGTTATGAACGGAGCCAGTTTCGCGAAATTTGGCCACCAATTCGCGAACAATTTTTCCAGACGCATGTTTCTCAGGATGCCGTTGGTTGAACAGTTCGGCGACCCGATTTCCGCATTCATTGTTTTTGAAAAAAAGCTCAATAATTTCTACTCTTTCTGGAATTGAGTACACCATAATTAATCAATTTAA